GATATACATTTTTTATTTTATGTGAAGAATCACCAACAAGTGGGACACAATTGTGAAGTGGAACGAAATCTATTGGATTTTTGAAACTTTTTTAACTAATAAAAAAATGAAAAGTGGGGCGTGCAAAATTATTCGGCCCCTTTACTTTCAGTGCAGCAAACTCACTCCAGAAGTTCAGCGAGGATCTCTGAATGATCCAATGTTGTCCTAAATGACTGATGGTGATAAATAGAATCCACCTGTGTGTAATCAAGTCTCTGTATAAATGCACCTGCTCTGTGATAGTCTCAAGGTTCTGTTGAAAGCGCAGAGAGCATCATGAAGACCAAGGAACACACCAGGCAGGTCCGTAATACTGTTGTGGAGAAGTTTAAAGCCGGATTTGGATACAAAAAGATTTCCCAAGCTTCAGATCTTGTTACAGATTGAATTAAGAAATTGGGACTTCAGTTTTCCTTTAAGTAGAACTATCCTGGGTGAAAACTGCTCCACAATCCCTAATCCCTGAGGAACGATCTAGGAATTTAAGAAAACAGACAGGAGGCTGGTCAACCTCTTGTCTGTTTGACCTGGTCATTTGGTAGCTAATTTAGAAAGCTGGAAGTTTTTGTTTTTAATCTTACTGCTGGCCTGTTGTATCCTCTCACTGCCACCTTCCATAGCGTTGGAATCGCTCATCAAATCCAGGAAAGACTTGTTCTTAAAGCCCAATATTATCACTATTGCATGGGATCATTAATAACACCTAATTTAGCTAAGGTAAGGTCATGTCATGTCATTTTCCAAACCGCTTTATACCATACAGCGTTGTGAGAAGCTGGAGCCTACACGGGAAGCAATGAGCGCAAGGCAGGGTACAACCTGGATGTGGCACCAGTCCATTGGCAAATTTAGCTAAGGTGTAATGCTTAAATTATCATTTCAGTTTAAGTGAGACCTTAATGGACATATTATAATTAACTAACAAACACTACACAGGTTTTGGAATGTCTTGTTGTAAAAATATAGAGTACACCAGAAATTATAAAGAATGAATTGACCAAGTTGATCTGGTGTTGGTCTATTGTGGAAGCAAAGCTCTCTACAATAAGAGATTATATGGTTTGGCAGACAATGGGATTCGCTTCACAGGAATACAGTCTATGTCTAAGTGGCTTTCAGTTCCTTCTTTCACTTCCAAGATCCAGGAGTGAAAACTAAACGATTGGTATCAGGTTGTGCCCAATGTGCCTCAATTCATACAGGCAATCAGTTCTGATTCAAGGAGCAGCGTCTCTCCCTGACATCAGTACAGAGAGGCTCTGCTCAACACTGAACAGGGTGACTTAAGCTAAACCAACCCCAGTAACACAGACCTGAACCAGCAATATTAAGACTGTAAAATCAGGGGATCCTAACTCAAGACCAGGAACTATATTTTGACTATATTTTGTTAGAGCCGAGTTCTTATTCACATTTCATTGACTTGTAATTTGTGATAAGGAAATTGTAATTTATTGGAACAAGTAATACGTTTATACTTACACACCTGAAGAAGGCTCCACGTCTGAAACGTTGTGTTCTCTTTCTTCTTTTTTTCAGCATGGAATAAACCTATTACTTGTTCCTTTGCAGCCTACGCATGCTGACGTAGCTACCCACTTGTAATTTATTGGTCCTGCACCAAGTTTTGAGGTTTTCGAAATCCCTTCATTCACCTCTCGCTGTTAAATTGACATTAAGAGCTATGAAGAGCTGCTGCTTCAGAAATGAGAGAGCAAACTCTCAAATGCACATCGAGAAGAGTCTTGAGAAGCTGTGTGCTAAAGCAGTTGGAAACAATAAGGAGGGCATCTTTGAAACTAAGGAATGGGTGCTGAAACAGTTTAAAACAGCTGATTCAAAGGGGAAATACAGTCCGGATAAAAAAATCTCAGTGACAAAAGAAATTAGTTAACGGTATAGTACAAGATCGTGAATTTTGTGTAGTTGCCATGATTTCGCAGACTGCCGGTCTAGCCAAAGACAAGAGCGAGAGTTCACTCACATTGCGATAGAACATGACCCTTCCTGCTCGCTAGTCCCTGTAAGCAAAAGGGAAATCTTGGTCTTCAAACAACTTTAATCCTTTTTTGGCTTTTGCAACTCATGTATATTTTTTAAATGATGCCTCACTGTCTAGCATATGTCTGTGAAGACCTGTGGTCAAAACTGAGGATCAGATCAGAAAGTCAAACTCTTTAGTTGTCCATGGGATATTCAATTAGCCATGAGATGGGTAATAAACATGGTCAGTGATGTTGGAATCATCAGCTAATTTCTCACAAGATTCAGTGCGATGTATGAGCTGCAGAAATGTTTAAATGTGATCTGCATGCAGAGGTAAGAAGAAAGTAGTATTTGTCAGCAAAACCATCTCAAAGTTGATATACTGAATTCAATTAATTTGCACTCATTCAGATCAGCAGTCTAGATAATGTATCTAAAATATGTCTCCTTGTATGTGTCAGTTTCATAACAGTTTAGAAACTAATGAATACAGTAGGAATATTTGTTGTAAAGCATGTGTTTTATTGCAACACAATTTTTGTTGCTTTTGACTTTACATGATTATGAAGCCTGACCATTCATAATAAGGAAAATATTTTCATTTCAGATACTGAACCAAAACTTGTGCTCCTACCAGGTGCCATTTTTGCCCATATAAAGCGACCAATGAAAAGAGAACGCAATGAGAGGGTGACATCAGTGCTCGAGAGAAAAACAGAAAACAATCTTCACGATTTACGTGATCATTTATATCGGAATTATGTTTAAGACCTAAGTTAAGATGTGCACTAAATATGGTTTTACTGTACGACTAAGAGCGATATTTCTATTGGATTGAAAGATTCACAAGCCTGCTTGTTTACAATGTAAAAGGCCACTTCACGTCACTGGAAATTTTGTTGCCTCATTCTGATTCGTAGACAATAACGGCAATCTGGCGCAGCACATACCTGGAGTTTTCAGCCACTTTGTGATGTAGACTGGAGGTTGTACACATTACTGTGTACTTTGTACTTTCAATGTGATTTGCAATGCACTCAATGCCGATTCTTTAAAAACCCCAAAACGTAAAATAGCATTGCGGTTCCTCTTTAAGAGCTCAGCAAGAAAGAAGTGTCCCCACACCGAGCTTGAAAGTCATCCCTACAGGGCTAAAACCTCTGCTCCAGGAAAGGGTAAATCAGAAACAGTTTCCTTTTTACTTCTGCAGAATTAAGTCTATGCAGATATACTGTACCTGCAGCAAGGATTTTCAAGTTACAGCCAAGACGGACCAGTTCTGACTTTGAACTCAGAAGCCAAGATCAGAAGAAAGGTAACATGTAGGAAGAGACTGATGTCTCTCAGTAGCTACGGTGCCAAAAACATCACACCTAACTCGCGTGTTGATTTATGACCATTTAAATCGCAGACCAGAAAGCAAAATTATGCAACCACTACACAGATTAAAAAAGAGAAAAAGAAAGAAAAACAGGCATTATACCATTATACCACAGCCAGCTTATTTCCCAAACAACAGCAAAATTCATTCCAAGGTTAAGTGTAAGCACAGGCTTGCTACATACAGATGGGAACACATGCAAAAAAGATCCTTTTCCAGAGGGAAAATATCTTCTTTGTTGCCAAAGGAATTGAGAAGGCATGCCAGAAAAAGCAGACTGAGCATCCAGATTGTGGAGTACTAATTCAGACAAATAATGTAGCCCTATTCCATAAGTCTGTGCTTTTAATCAGAAATGGTTAAGCATTGTAGCTATTGAAGGAATAAAGGCTTATTCATTCAGTGACCTGAAGTACTTTTCAACCTTCATACTCAGTCATACTATTTATTGTGGCTCAGAGCTCCAGCCCTCTAGGGGGAAAAAAAAACTTTCAAGTACATTTTGTATCAGTCTGCTTAAAAATCTGAAAACAGCTGCCTGAAAAACAAACCTAAGTATTGTTTTTCTCTGTCATCACCTTGTGAAACATTCCCACGCAAGTAAGGAAAAATCGTCAACAAATTTCCCTCCAGGGTAGCAAACATCTCATTATGTAATTAAAAGAAAACAGAAGACTGATTTTATATAAGGCCAGTCTAGTTTGAATGAAGATACTAACACCAAAAACAAGGCACTTACTAAACATCAATCAAACATTTTTGCATTAATCCACATGTAGATTTTCACCTATATGAAATGTTTAAATTAAATCAAGGGATCTAATTCTTGCTAGGTCTTACTAGTAACAATTGAGTCGATGATTCACAATATTCCAATTAGAATAATGTAACTGCGATCAAATTAGCAAGTGGGTTGTTTGTTTAGTTAATTTAAAGATTACTGTGCAAAGAACTGGGAAAAGCCTTCAACTCTCAGGGAAAAGAGTTTGTGTACCTGAACAAACTATTTACTTAATTGATCTATAACTCTCAATTGTGGCTTCTTTAAAAGATACTTTAAAACCTCTCAACTTAAAGTGACCTAAGACACCAAATAGGTTGGAATTCTTCAGGAACAGGGCTGAAGATTGTTGGGTTTACAGCAGCTTTTGGTTTTCATTCCAACCAAGATCTCACTGACTTAACCGATGCCATCACTGGTGTAATTACTGAAAAGTAATGTGATTCTTAGTGTCTGGCAGAAATGAACTGTTAATTCTGAGGGCCCTGGACTCTACAGGATAAGCTCTGGTCCTTAGCCAGGTGAATCATTTCTTGTTGTTTCTATTTTGGAATCCATTACACCCACCCTGATTTCTGTCACAGATTAATTTGGTTCTAAAAGCTAGAAATTAGGGGTCTCTGCTGAGATAATCAGCAGAGAGGGACATAAGCGCCCAGCAGACCAGAACAGAAACGGTCATCTTATTCCCAGAGGACTGGAGAAAGCAGCCATGACCCAAAGAACAAAGGAAAACTTAAAAAAAAACGGGAAATGGCAAAATTCAGGAAGTGAATCACGGTATTGTGTACTCTGTAAGTGGTACTCTACCGCTTATTTTCCAACCTGTACGTTTTCCCCTCTTTCGCGGCGATGGTGACGGTGGACTGGTCCGTGCCGGAGGCCAGGATGGGGTACGGGACGACCAGCAGGGGGCCCGACGGGCTCTCGGCCTTGATCTTCTTCCGGCCGCGCTCCCCCTTGGGCGGCGGCCCCAGCAGGCCCGACAGGCCCCCGCTCTTGGCCGGCTCCATCCCCGGGCCGCTGGCCAGCCCCGAGCTGACGTTGGGAGAGGAGGCTCCGCCCAGGCGGCTCTGGCTGCTGGAGGTGGGGGTGGTGGGGGTGATGGCCTCCGAGGTGTTATTCTGGCTGCCCGTGCGGGACGACAGGGCCAGGCCTGCAGGGAAGAGAGTTGGGGGACAAAGACGGCGTCACGCCTCCAGGCCTCCAAATAAATAACACAACATCGTAACGGCTTTCCCTTGTGGGGAAGCTGCCCCTCGAGGCAATTTTACATGACTTTTCCCACAGAAGAAGGATGTCTTGGCTTACAGAAATAAAAGAAAGTTTACAACAAAATCAGGCCATTAACCCCTCAGGGTCATTTTCCTGTTTATAGTGTAGTTCACCCACTGTGTCAGGATGAATTTCCACCTCATGATATGGCAGATATCATGATATGTTTTCTAGCTTTGGTTGAGAATTTAATTGACCCTCACATTCTCAAGCTACAAGTGAAAAGTCACGAAGTCCCTTAAACACGATTATAAGCAATTATTCAATTCAAGGATGCTATCGAGATTACAGGACGCAAAATGTGATTAGAGTTTCACTACTTTGCTTATTTAAAAAAATCTGTCAATAATCCTTTCTAAATAATATCTCAGATAGTACTTCCAACATACACTGTTAAAATGGTTAGATCAGCAGCTATTTTGGCTCTAAAACGTTTTACTGTGCACTTAAGTCATGTGCCCAGTATGTCAAGTAATGTTGGCTTATGCCAAATATTTTTGATTTAGTTGATATTGAATTTTGTAGATGTTTACTTAATTTAATTCATTGCATTCATACTTTTCTTTCCAAAAATCGACACACAACCAATTGCTTGGCTTCTGCTGTTCAATCATTCCGTCTCCCTGATCATTCATATCTTTGACCAATTTATACATTTAATCCCATGCATTTATGGCCAGCAGCCATTTCACTGTGCAACTCACAACTGGCAGCCCATTAAAGCTCAGCGGGTGTGAGCCTGGTCAGTACCTGGACGGGAGACCACCTTGCAAAAACTAAGGTTGCTGCTGGAAGAGGTGTTAATGGGGCCAGCAGGGGGTGCCAACCCTGTGGTCTTAGTGGGTCCAAATGCCCCAGTATAGTGACACTATACTGTAAAAAGGCGTCGTCCTTTGAATTGGTAAAACCAAGGTCCTGATACTCTGTGGTCATTAAAAATCCAAGGGCGTTTCTCAAAAAGACTAGGGGTGTAACCCCAGCGTCCTGGCCAAATTTCCACATTGGCCTATTATCAATCATGGCCTCCTAATACTCCCCATCTCTGAACTGGCTTCATCACTCTGCTCTCCTCCCCACTGAGAGCTGGTGTGTGGTGAGCGTTCTGGTGCACTATGGCTGCTGTCGCATCATCCAGGTGGATGCTGCACATTGGTGGTGGTGGAGGGGATCCCCATTACCTGTAAAGCGCTTCGAGTGGAGTGTCCAGAAAAGAGCTACTGTATATGTGTAAAGAATTATTATTATTTATATAGCACTCTTCATCCTAAAGGATCCCACAACACTTTACAAATAGGAGGGAATCAGCCCCACTTGAGTGACCTACAGCAGGCATTCTGTGCCATCAGTCACACTGCACAGCAGACCAGGCAGAGCAGAGCTACCTCATCGCCACCTGAAGCAAGGGGAGCTGGCAGGACTGAGCAATTTAACATCCCATGTAAGAAAGCAGTAGTATTTTCAAAACGGTAGTTTTCCTATAGTTAAAACCAAAGTCATTACTGCAAACAAAAACTACTGCAACCGCTAAATAATTATCAATTGGATTAAACAGTACCGTACCATATTGGAAGGGAATAATTTTATTTTAGAAAACTGCATGGTCAGAATGTATGCTATTCCATTAAATAAAGGAAGGAAATTGACCAATTTGATACACAGCAGTTACCACATTAAGATGGATTTGATCAGCAGCTATGTGGATTGATGTCAGTCCAGCTTTAGAAATATTTATATTTTATACAATACTCCAAGAGCAAAAATGAAATTTTACAAAACTCTTCGGTCACTCTTACTGTATTTATGATGCAATTTCTGTACTGTAATGTGAAATCTGCAAAGCTATTTTTATATTTTGAGGTTAGAAAAAATCAGCATTGATGAGCACATTTCAAACTACAGCAAAAAGTAAAAAGGTACAGAGTAACATTTCTGCGTTGGAATTTCAGCCGCACAACCTTATTCTCTGGTACATCGCATTACATGAGTCAAGACAGTGACTAGTGAGCAGGAAGATCTTCATTCGCACAAATGCTCGCTCTCACACTGGGGTTTGCGACAAAAAGGGAGACGATACAGTACTTTCACAATGTTCACGATTTTGTGCTAATTTCAGAATTGTAAATTGGCCTGAGACGTCAGGACTGCAGTTCCCCTTAATTTGTCCACATACGTCCTCAACAGGGCGGCGTGGTGGGGCAGTAGTTAGCATCACTGCCTCACAGCACTATTCCTGGGGTGCTGTCTGTGTGGAGTTCGTATGCTCTCCCAAAGACAGACTGGTAGGTTACATGGCTTCTGATAAATGACCCTGTGACTCTAAATTGGATGAACTGGTCAGAAAATGGTTGGATGTCTGTAATATTACATATTACACACAGATTAACATAAGGAATGGATTGAATGTGATTCAACTTAAAAAGCCTGATCAAAAAAGGCATTAAAGCTACAAACATTTTACAGGCAGGAGTCCATTTGAGCACTAACTGCTAATGTTAAACATTTTAAAGTGGGAAACCCAAACTAACAGTATAAGGCTTAAAGGGAAAGTGAGTAAACCATTAGGTTGGGTGGTTATATATATATAAAAAAACTCTTTCTCTGCTGTTATTTCTGTGAATCTACAACTGAAGACACAGCAGGGATTCCAACATTCCAGACTATCCGATCAAGGATAAAGAAGTACTAACCCGGAGTGCCTTACTGAGACAGCAGTACGTTTTGAGAGGATTCCTGAGATTGGCCAGGGTGGCTCCTCTGGAGTTTGGAATCCGCTGTTTCTGAACCCCACCCACGCTGTGGGTGAAGAACAGCCTCCTGAATTTAGCTGCACTTTGTTACTTTTACTTTGAAATTACCTTTCCTGCTATCTGTGTTGACCCTGACATCGAGGTCTTTTCAAAGATTTTTAATTAATTCCCGGCAACCGATTTCTCAATTCCAATTTGTCAAGCTCTCAGAATACAGAAAGCTGCCAATGACGTCCCTGGTAAACTGCTAAGATCCGCGTTCTAGGATGTGCAGACTCAATATTTGTCAGCTTTCATCTCATCATGGATGCCCTTTGCTCTGGATTGTACAGTACAATACAGCTGTTCAATAAAATACAGGGGAGTTCCAAACTGCTCTGCCCCGACGCTCTGGAAAGCAGTACTGCACCATTAAGGTCAGAACACTAGGATTAAGAACAGCTTCTATCCTATGGCAGTGCGCATCCTTAACAGTTAACAGTGCAGTGCATCAGAACTCAATGCTGTTTCGCACTACATACGGACTTGGACAACCATGATTTGTATTCACTACCATATATTTAATGTTCTCTACCAGGTATTTATTGCTCACGTTTTATTGACTGTACATACTATCACTATTTGTTATATAGTGTTTTGTAATGTACTGTGCATGTCCTGAGAGAAGAGAGCGAATAAGAATTCCAATGTACACGTACATATGGCAATAAACTCCTCTACTCTACCGTCTCCTCTACTCTACTAGCTATAGATTCTTTCATTTAGTGGTGCAAGAAGCAAACGCACTTTCATAGGCTACTGCATTAAGCAGTTTCAGCCATACCTCCCTCGATTACAACGTAAGGCATTTCACTGCGTTTCCAATCGCTGGTAGTTTTTTAGTCTGTCCTTCGTAATTTGGTCAACAGAAACATGAATAATAAAAACAATCTACAATAAGTGGGACTACAATAAACAAAGAGTATCTATTAATAGGGTGAGCTGGGAATTGTGGAGGCTCAGAGTGGAAAACACTGACATAACAGATGGGAGGCATAAAGGAACTTCTTATGGTAGATAGCAAGTGACTGGAAGAAATTGATGCTCAGGGTCTACTTATCTACAAGGACTCATTTGAATTTACTGATATTCAATTCCCAGGTCTGTTTGATATCCTGCGCCATTGTTTTATGATTTTAGCAACTCCTGTTCTTTTTTTTTTGCCATTTCAAAATAACGAGAGCAGCAAACCTCTACAGCACGTAAAAGAGAGCAGCATGAAGAAGGCTCCACAGCCAAAATTTTGCGTTTCTATTCTTCTCTTTTCTTTCTAAACTTCAGACCCCTGATACAACACCTTAGCGTGGAAAAACCATAGAGGATCTCTCTTCCCTCAGAATATGGCGGTTTACTGTGCGAACAAAGTAGTTTCGCTAATAAAAATGTGACAGTTTTCCTACAAACAATCCATGTCTTTTCCTAGACCACCATATTCATTTTCCAAACTCTCTCATATTAGATTTAAGGCAAGCCCTGGGAATTGATTTAGAGGGTTTGCCATGAAGAAATTTTCCTAAAAAAGATCACAACAGTAAAAATGCAAAATGGCATGGTACAACAGTTTAGATATATATTACGGTTAGACTTGGCAGGATTTAAGATAAGAGATAAGATAAGATCACTTTATTGGCCACATTGCATTAGGAATTTCTCTTTTCACATACCCCAGCTTGCTCTCCATGAAACACACATACACACAGACAGGGAGAGAGAAGCTTGGAGTCTGAGCGCAGGATCAGACATTTATACGGCACCCCTGGAGCAGTGAGGGGCCCAACGGAGTAGGATTCCTCTGTCGGCCGCGGGATTTGAACCGGCAACCTTCCAGCCACAGGCAGAGATCATTAGCTACAGAGCCATTGCTCGGCCGGATTTGATATTCATTTTACTACTGCACCCAAAATAGTGTAATAAATGACTTCATCTGGAGACTTAATCCAATTAATCAGTTACGAGTTGTACTCGGTCAATGATATACTCCACAACAAGTGGAAACCTACTTCAATACTTTTGAGGAATGTACAGCCAGGTGCTAGGTGCATCCTGTACAAAATAAAACCAGTGTATCTGACAGTCCTGGAAAAGTAATTAAAACAGGTAAAATTTGGTGGTCTAATTTTACTGTTGAGTTGAATATGCTGTTAATTAGCAAGACAAAGGGGAACACAGCCAGAACAGAGCAGTAAACATGTAATGTGGCAGAGTACAACAGTGCAGGTACTCATGATTTATACATTATGGATTTATTACTGCTCACAAAATAACATACCAATCCAACATTCATTTTCTTTGATTAACAAGTTCAAAGGTATCTGCTTCCATTATTTTTTCAAAATTGCCATGCTAAAGAAATATTTCCCAGAACAGGTGAGTATTAGAAATCCCCTTTTTCCCCAAAAGGCTAAAATGATGCTTCTGTAGCACTGGCATTAAGTGATTAGAGGTAGATTTCATTTTAGGATTAATGCACAGATACTAGCACACAGAAAAGAGCTGCAATTCTCAGCACAGCAGCTCCCTGAACTTGTCTGTCACCAGACAGACAGAAAGTAATCAGGAGGAGTTAGTCACCTACAGTTGAACAACCGCCTTGACAAGGTGAGTCTGTTATGGCATTTTGTGTGCAAACAAGGTGTGTGGAATTCGGGAAGACCTATGCATTCCAAAACAGTAGTTAATTCCCAGTCACGTGTCAAATTTTCCTGGAGCTTTGTAAGCGCGGTGGAAATGTGGCACCCATCAAACTACACAGCTAGGGCAATATTCCCATGCCGTTAAAATGATTTCGGGGTGACTAGATAGTTACTCATTCATGACACTTAAAAAAAAAGCCACTGCTCCATTTTGACTCAAAACACAAGAAGATAAAACCTTGAGGTCTGTTTTCTTTTTCTTTTAACAAGGTAACATGGCAGAAATGCCAGATCCATGGAGAGGCGATTACCTGAGAGATGGTTCATTCTAGTAGGCTGGTCTATGATTTGACGCAAATGCCAGTCCTCCCACAATCCTTTAGCTTTTACAGATGTCTTATCATCCAAGTTTACATCACCAAGAATAAGGCCTGTTAGAGATGTGCAGAAAACCCAGATTTACGAGAAACATTGGTATTCATGGATAATCAACATACAAGAGCAACTTAAAAAAGGGAGAAAACATTTTTTTTAAAGAAGGTGAAGGTTTATACATTTATATATCCCAAAACATGTCCATAACCCACCCTGGTCAAGTTCCTCTTTATCTGTAATGCAGTTTCATGCCTTCGGGTCAGTGGTATTGCAAAAGAAAAACAACAACTGCGGTTTTGTTTTTAAATACAGGACCACCTCACAAGATAAACTGGTCAAATGTGGGAAGAATTTACTGAAGGCTCAGTGGCAAATCGGACAGCTGTGCCTGTATTTCCAGGGGTTAAAAAGGAAAATACAAAATGCCAAATCTTCTGGCACTGTGTAACTGTTTCTGACTTAACCAAAAACTCTCTTATCAATAGACCCGTGGGTACAAACACAGAATCGATAACAGCCAATCGCCATCTTGCTGGACTCCCAACTACAAACTACGTGGCGTGTATGGAAATCATCAATCATTTTCCACAGCCCTCCTGAGGTTTACAGCTGTGTATGACCTTGTCAATTAAGAACTGAATCCTGAAAGAAAAAGTGCAGTCAAGGATTCCACTTGACAGAAGCAATGAAATGAAATGCATGAGCAATAGGCTCTGGTCGTGCCAGCTGGCAGGCTCTTTGCCCACAGACACCATGGGCACAGGCAAACCTTAAAGTAAAGTTTAACTGCCTTCCTTCCAAAACAACTTTTTAATGATCAAACACTGAAAGGCAGTTTATTCCGAGAGCTGCAGAAAGCTGGAATGCTTTTCGGGAAGCAGTGACTCAGCCATCTCATCTTGATCTTGCCGCGATCCATGTGTGCCGAGGGAAGAGCAGTCTGGCTGTGAGGATGAGACTATAGCCCCCCCTTGCGGATCAAACGGAGATGCAGCAGAACCAGGAGTCAGCAAAGGATTCTGGGAAGGGTTTGGCACCTGTGTCCACCCAGCCTTTACTCAGAACTATGTTTATAATATTCATGCTTTCATAACCCTTTATTTACGATCTTAAAATAAAGGTATTCATTCAGTTCTACTGCTTCCAGTCAGGAGAAGTTGAATCCATACAATAATTTTCTCCATACAAGGGGCTAGCACTCTGTAACTGCAAAAAATATTTTGTTTTTAATAGCATTACCACACCCGACCAAAAATAGTGTAAATCAATAAAAAATAAAAAATACAGCAAATCATTTGTGGTCATTTTTATTGTAAGGCAAATTGTAGCCTTGAAATAAAAGTGCAATGTTATTGAAGCCGTTGTTTAACAAAGGCAGGACAGGTAATGCATCTGAAGTCCTCCTTAATGCTGGCTAGGAAGACACTGTAACCAAGCTTAAAACTCTTGACTTTGACTCTTACTCCTTGTGCTGCACACTATATAGGGCTGATACACAAAACGTAGCTCCCACTCAAATCAATTCATTTATGATTGGAATAGAAATAATAATAATAATAATTATTATTATAATTGCTTACATTTATATAGTGCTTTTCTGGACACTCCACTCAAAGTGCTTTACAGGTAATGGGGACTCCCCTCCACCACCACCAATGTGCAGCCCCACCTGGATGATGCGACGGCAGCCATAGTGCGCCAGAACGCTCCCCACACATCAGCTCTCAGTGGGGAGGGGAGCAGAGTAATTAAGGCAATTTATAGAGGGGGATTGTTAGGAGGCCATGATTGATAAGGGCCGATGGGAAATTTGGCCAGGATGCCGGGGTTACACCCCTACTCTTTTCGAGAAACACCCTGGGATTTTTAATGACCACAGAGAGTGAGGACCTCGGTTTTACGTCTAATCTGAAGGACGGCGCCTGTTTACAGTATAGTGTCCCCGTCACTACACTGGGGCATTAGGACCCACATGAGCCGCAGGGTTAGCAGCAACCTTAGTTTTTCCCAGGAGGTCTCCCATCCAGGTACTGACCAGGCTCACACCTGCTGAGCTGCAGTGGGCTGCCAGTTCCGAGTTGCAGGAGAAAAATGAGGAGCTATACGTTCCTCCAGGAGTTCCAATATCTTGCAGCATTCATGTGTCTCACAGTATAATTTATCTCCAAAACCTGCTTATTTGACTCCAACTTTCAGTTTATATCAGTCTCTTTGGACTCTTTTGGCCATTTTATCCCTTCAAACAAAACATTCAAATTCCATAGACAAGAACAACCGGAATATATTTTTTAAGTTTAGGTTCACCCTAAGCATGATTTTTTTTCCGAAACACAGCTGTCCTTTTAAATCTGTATTTGCAGGCTTTGCAACTTTAATACAGACGGAACCCACAGAATGTAACGGCGAAACCCCAGCCAGAGCAGCCTTGCGATCCAATTACATTTTCTGATTACAGTAAAAAGCCTCCAGTCGCTCCAACCCACAAGCTGCTTGCTGAAACGGGCACCCAGCAGCTTTTCCGTATTAAAAAAAAGCCATGAAGCGACTGCATCACAGTAGAGCAGAAAATGACACAAATGGAGGGTGAGGAGATGCCGTGTGAAATATAAATGGATGTGAACCGACGCCCTGAGCTGAAGGAGGTGAATTTCGTGCACATCGCTAGTGCCTTGAAGGAGAATCCTCTCAGGGGGCAGGAGTAGGGGGCATTGCCTACCTGCCACAGTGCTGGAGGCTGGCCGGGCGTGCAGGGCGATGTCAGGCTGCGAGGGACTGTGTGTGTGGAGCCCGGGCACCTGCTGAAGCTTGGGAATGGACATCACGTGCTGGCCGCCCTCCGAGGGCGAGGGGGGCACCAGCAAGGGCTGCTGGGAAGGGACAGAGGTGGGTGGCAGGTGGGGTGGCCTGATCTTCTCGGCCATCAGCTGCTCCTTGATCTTGTTGATCAACACCAAGTTATCCAGCTAAGAAGACAACAGAAACAGAAATGCATGCGATAATGATCATTAAACTGCATGAACCTCTTTTTAACCTAGAAGGCACATCTGGAAAGAATCGGACCGATTCGAAACATCAAGGACCGACTGCAGTGAGTTTCGTTTCTTCCCAGTTTTGATGTTGCTCAAGTTTAAATCCCAGGCAGAACGAGCAACTTTATGCTAAGTAGGCAGACATACTTTGATTTTTTGTGACAAAATCTGGGGTTCTCTATCAGTCATGATGGTGGATTGACCAGCTTTAATAAAAAATCCTCTCAAATTCTTCTTCTTGTGCAGAAACAATGTATGCAATTTACAAATTGAAAATTATTCACTTCATCAGTAGTCCAAGCTGAACCACTTGGCAAGCTGCTACTTTCTTTTTACTCTGCAATAGGTTAGAAACCATTGTAAGAAACCCAGCCTATATTGTAAACTTCTACTCAAAGACCCAAATTTTCTAGCAGACCAATCCCTGCTGTTTAAGAAAACATTTGGCCCATTTACTCTAAGCATGGCATCGTTTCAGCAATACCATAATCATCTTGATACAGACAAGAACAGCACTGTTTTTGTCTTCATGAAGACGGCAACATCGTAACTAAGCAGATTTTAAAAACCACCAAATTTGCTAACGAACTACCTTGGTGATGTGTGGCTTCTTACACAAACAGCTCCTGATGTCCAGGCTGCATGACCAGGTTGTGTGCAAGTGATCTCATTACTCCTGTGCCAGTGTCCTTGCACTGGCTTCCTATGAGGTTTCAGGTCAATTTCAAAATCCTTGTGCTCACCTATAAGGCTCTACATACCACCTTAGTACCTTTCTGATTTATTATCTGTCTACTCCCCACCTCACAACCTTCATTCATCTGACTCTGGTCTCCATTTTGGACCCCAAGCTCGTCAACATGTGACAGGGCCCTTGCTGCGCCCCCGACCTCCGGAATTCTATCCCGAAGAATACCAGGGAGTCACCTAGCCTGAGCGCTTTCAAATCCAGACTCAAAACCTTTTTCTTCAGAAAAGTTTTTTATCTAATTGATGTCGGAATCGGCTTCTGCTTTCTAATTCTGGCATCTTCACTCCTTGTTATCTTTTTTTCCTTATGGTAAAGCACTTTGAGAAGCTACTTTTAAAGGTGCTATATTATTATTAACATTGTTAACACCTTCAAAAAGGAAGCCCACATGGCTTCAAAAAGAAGCCACAATACTCCGTACAGGAAGACAGAAAAAAGTATTGAAGTGAAGTCCATAATTATTCTCTCGCTTACACACAGTACTTTACTCACTCGGATCTCAAACATATAAACTGCGCTAAAATATCTGACATTTTAGACTCTGCCTTGAAATATATACAGTGGTGTGAAAAAGTGTTTGCCCCCTTCCTGATTTCTTATTTTTTTGCATGTTTGTCACACTGAAAATGTTTCAGATCATCAAACAAATTGAAATATTAGACAAAGATAACACAAGTAAACACCAAAACGCAGTTTTTAAATGAAGGTTTTTATTATTAAGGGAAAAAAAAATCCAAACCTACATAGCCCTGTGTGAAAAAGTGATTGCCCCCTAAACCTAATAACTGGTTGGGCCACTCTTAGCAGCAACAACTGCAATCAAGCATTTGCGATAACTGGCAATGAGTCTTTTACAGCGCTGTGGAGGAATTTCGGCCCACTCATCTTTGCAGAATTGTTGTAATTCAGCCACATTGGAGGGTTTTCGAGCCTTAACCACTTTTTTAAGGTCATGCCACAACATCTCAATCGGATTCAGGTCTGGACTTTGACTAGGCCACTCCAAAGTCTTCATTTTGTTTTTTTTAAGCCATTCAGAGGTTGACTTGCTGGTGTGTTCTGGATCATTATCCTGCTGCAGAACCCAAGGGCGCTTCAGCTTGAGGTCACGAACAGATGGCTGGACATTATCCTTCAGGATTTTTTGGTAGACAGCAGAATTCATGGTTCCATTTACCACAGCAAGTCTTCCAGGTCCTGAAGCAGCAAAACAGCCCCAGACCATCACACTACCACCACCATTTTACTGTTGTT